GGATTCATGAGCTCATCCGCACTGGCGAATAGGTATTCCGCAAGAATGGGTGATTCTCTCGGAGGAGCATTCCATGTGACGTATGTGGAAAACCTGCCAAGCATCGTACGCTGTGGGTTAGTCCCCGGCGGAATCGATGGCGGCAACAGGCTAGCACTGCACTTCGGGGCGTTTGCTCCATGGGATGAGATGAACGTGGCGACGAAGACAACGCTACGGAACGTGAGGAGAGGGGATCCGATTGCGATCATCTATATTCCCAGTGCAACCCTCGCGCGGTATGGGGCTGGAGTCGCGGCTAATGGGACTTTCATGGTCTTTGACGTGATCCCGTTCTATGAGGTCAAGTCCATTTGGATTGGCAAAAGCAACGGAGGGAAGCGCCTGGAGTACGCTGACATCAAGAGGGCGTACTCGAAGTGTGTGGAGAACGAGATCTGCCCTGGCTTTGTCAACTCTTCCCAAGAGTCGGCTGCGATGTTCCTCCAGAACGTCGCAAAGATCAGCGAGAGGATGCCGGAGACTGAGACAGGTGCCGATAATCTGCACTACATCGTTGACATGGTTAATCGTGCCTGCGAACTCTATCGAATCAACAAGATGGAAGAGTTCAATGCACAGGTCAACGAGGTCCGGGACGAAATCAGCAAAGTCGTCATCCTGAATGACGAGACATGGGAAGGACTGAGGTGCCGGATATGTCCATCATGTGCGACCGCGATCCCCACCTGCTTCTGCTTATGCCTGGAATGCGAAGCACAACTGATCTCCATCGGAAGGTATTACATTCACATCAAATCCGATGACGAGGAGGACAACCAAAACCCCAACGTCTCTGGAGATGCCAGGCGTGCACAGGAAGAAGCTAACCACGATGCGGCAGCACAGGAGGATGAAGACGAAGCGGAGGAAGTTCCGGGAGAAGATGACGACATGGACACGCAAGGATATACATCCGGCTATGCGTCAGAAGAAGAAGACAGCGGTTGGCATTACCGCGACACCGATCTGGCGTCACGGGACATTATAAGTTCCCAACGGATGGCGATCTGCCTTGACGAGCCGCGTGAGGCTCAGTACATGGCAGGATTTATCGCACTCCAGATGTCCAAGATGTGGGGGATGTTCGAGGGTGGTGAGGAGAGAACGATGAATGCCAAGCTCGAGGGGAGAGAGGGCTGCCCTTACCACAATGATTTCAAGAGGTACCCCAACATCACTGAGCACGATCAGGAAGGTATACTATTGCCATCAACAATAACGAAGATTTCTCAGTCGGAGAATGTTCGGACAAGAGCCTTCCGATCGGTTGAGGAGCGTGACGAATATATTCGTATGATGGTGTGCAAATGCGAGGGACTATACACATTCTACAAGCTGTGGATTGCAGCAAGAATCCTCGATGTCACCAAGGAAGAAATGAAGCTCCTGGTCAAGGACCGAGTGCACCCGGTGGGTGATATTATTTTCAGATGCTTTGCACTAGCTTTCAACTGTAAGTATATATCATTCGTGAGGGATGGCCTGAACCTTGGCAAACATGGTTACACGGTCAACGTGAGCGCCATCATCTCGGCCGTCGACCCGAACAAATGCGACACACCCCTGCTGGATTGGTGCCTTCGGAAAGGGCACTGGTTGCCAGAGGACTACAACAAGAAGTGTGTCCGGGCACGAGAAGCCCAGAAGAACTTGGACGAGGAGTTCCGTCGACGCACTCACAGACTGTCCATTGGGGACCGGTATGCGTAGTGAAGATGCTGATTGCGGCACGATGTGGGTTAGTCCCCATCTGTTGCTTGCGTCTCATCAACACCATTGCGATGGAACGACTTTACATTATGATATGATTTCATATATCCAAGTTGAATGGATGTGTACATGGTTACATATTCCGATGACTATGACGCTCTGGATATTCATGGATGGAACTATTACCTTATAGATGATATCTTTTCATTATTTATGCATTGTCCATGGTATCTGGAATGGCTATGATTTGCATTGATTACTCACCGATGTTTCTTTGCCGGAAATATGCAGACCGATTACAAGCGGGCGCCTCTGGTGGACTTTTGCGGCCAACCCATTTATGGATGACAGCTGCGCGATGCGCAAATGCGGCAGCTGGAATGTTCACTGGCGGTCAAGTGAAGTGGCCACAGTGTATTATATACACCTGCATATGGATGTGTGCTTCGATTGGAGGATGAATGTTTCACTTTTCGTACAATCGAACCCGGCATGTTTCACAGCGAATGAACGGTGTAGTGATAGCAAGTAAAAGAATGCACGACACGATTTCGTAGTTGAAGCCGTGGCCAGTGGAACGTTTTGTGGTGTTTGGACCGCATGATGAACAATGCGACCCAAATGGGGGATGTTAAAACCCTCTAGGCCCCGTGCCGAAATTGGGTAGCTGTTCTGAGGTCCTTGTTGGTGTTGCTTCCCAAGTTCCATTGATCGCCATTTGGCTCAAGACACAATTGAGGTTCAAGATCTGATGTGTGACTGCATACATACGTGATCGGCATTGAGAGCGAAAACACTTCGCTTGCGCTGCATTTGTCAGGACCACTGTTGTAACTATCATTCCTTCTCCCTTACAACGTTTACACGGGTTCGGCTATAACGGCATCGTCCGTATACACCTTTCTACGTGGTTGGTATTACAGCTTGAGGGTTCGGTGCATAGCGTCCCACGGGACGTCACCTTGCCGTCTCTTGACATTTTTCAAGGCCTCTGAAAGTTCAAATCGCAAAGCAGCCCCAGAAATTATCTCAAATCAGAAATCCAATCTTGCAGCCGTTTCTCCATAATGACCCGTCGCCGTATCAGCGCCCTTGTTCCCCGCCCTCGGCCTGTGCAATTCGGTGAGGCTGGCCATTGTTGTCCGTCCACACGTAGCTAGAAGACGTGCCGTACCAAAGGCGCACATACGGCAACAACCGGCAGGCCTCCAAGCATGGCTGTACGACTGACATGGTCGTACGCCCCTGCAAAGCCGTCACGGAGCTGCTCCGACGCCCCCGGATCATTTGGCGCTTGGCCAACCCGCAGCAGGCGCCGTCACAACTTCGTCCCAGCGGCTTGCGCGGCCCAGTCCGCCCAATCTACATCTCGCTCGACAAAACTTGGCCAGGCTCCAAGCACTACAGCAACACCCGCAGAGCTTTCCCCTCGCCTGGCAAAACCAAGCCAACCAAGCCCAGAGCACCTTGGTCTGGTCGCAGGGGACAGGCCGCGGAACCCTGCGATAGTCTGGAACCTGAGAAGATACGCAAGGCTAATACATCGCCAAGAACTGAGCAATGCTTGTGTAGGCGTTGCAGCGTTTTCATGTTCCACAGTGAAACGCAGTGATGCATATTGTTGTTAAGAGGCAAGCTGCAAGTGGCAATCATTTTTTCCGCACCTTTTTCCGCACCTTTTTGCGTGTTGCCAAGCGGTGAGACACGTGCTAAGGGAGGAGTCTCGGGCACCAGGACACAGGCACAGTTTAGGGGGTGGCACTAAAGCAGGGGCGGGGGGCCAAGAACCGTCACCGAAACCGAAGACGGGTGACGAGGGGCGGTGGGTAAGCCGAGACCGGCCAGGCATAAAATCAATGACACATCAAAAAACAATGGCGAGTCAGGCTGGCAGGGCGTACTCGGGGAGCTTAATGCAATGGCGAAGCTTCCCGCGACCAGCAGTGCGTACTGTGGCATGGACATGCGGTCCAAGTCATGGTCTAAGAGCCTTTAGCAGTTGATCGCATTCGGTCAAAAACTTGGTCATCTAACCTTTGCCATCCCATGCCCTGAAATGCAAGGTGGGCATGCGGGGCGAGGCCAACCTGCCGGCTAGTGAGGGATGCGGTGCAAAGCTGTCTGGCAGATCGGCCCGAAAGGAAAGCGATGCTGAGGCCCTGGTACCGTTCGAGGTTGCGCCTGGCCGGTAGGTTAGAGCATACGGCCTCCAGCAAGCGCGCTCTCCCCAATGCGGGGAGAGGTCTTATGCAATTGCTGTTTTTCACCAGGGGCACGGCTTGTTTATACTGGGCCCGATTCCCAGCTATGCGATCCGTGGCGCCGGCCGCGAAAAAAACACCGGAAACCGGGGCAGCCCAAACCACCACAAACACAACTGGGAAAGAACCCCAAAACCAAAAACAGGGGGGACAGGCAGCCAGCCACCAGCTCAGGCAGCGTTTGGGCTAACAGTTTTTCATGCTGGTGTTCTCTGTGCACGCATGCCAGCGTACACGCCCTCAGCATCTTGTTTCAAGCTCGCTTTAAGCTGACATCATGCGCTTTCAACATGGCCTCGCCAAAGCATGAGGCGTTGAAAGGCGGGTGAGGTTTGACGCGTTGCAAGATCCTCCTTGCACAGTTAGTGCACCATGTGTGGTGCACACCGGCAACGCCCAGCACCACCCAGCCACGCGCTCTGCCTGGACCAGCCGCCCCGGCCGCTGCGGGACGCAAGCTTTCCCTTCGAAGCCTTTGCAGACGAGCGGCGGGCGCGAGCCGAGAAGAAATCGGCCCGCGGCGAAGCAGCCGCCGCCAACCCCACCTGCGCGAGGAGCCCGTGCCGCCCGGTGCGGCCCCCAGCCAGAGCCCGGCAAAGCCCGCCGCGAGCAGCTAGGGGCCTTGGGCCCGTCACGGTCTGAGCCGAGAGGACATGGAAGCGCTGCTGACAGAGCAAGACGGGCGCCAACGCAGCGGAGCTGAAGCGGAAATACGCCCCAGCCAGCGCGAGGCCATCCGCGCAGATGTGCGCTCCCATAAGCGCGCGCTGGAGCTAGCCGCGCAATGCTGCCCAAAGCGAGAAGTCGCGGCGAAGAGCGGCGTCGCCAACAGCTTCGCGACGGCCGCTGTCCGGGCCTCGCCCGCGCAGCCGCTGCGTGGCGGCAAGAGGCCGCGAAAACTTTCTCGTTGACGCGCGAGCCGCCCTGCCCGGCCGACGCGCCCCTGGCCGCGAGCGCAAGCGCCGCTGCAGCCCGCCGTGACTGGGCATGCGTCGCGTCCTGGACCTTTTGCCCCGCCTGCGGGCGGCTCGGCCTCAGACAACCTGCCATCCCCACTGGCGCGCCGTGGAGCGGTCCTGCAAGGGCGGCTGTGACCCGGCCCCGGCTAGCTTGGAGGCCGCGCCCGTCACCCCAGAGGAAAATCAGTTGAGGCAGAAGCCGCAAGCCCACACAACCCGGCAGGCCAGCCACTGGGCCGCCTTTGCAGACGCCGCGGCGGGAGCAGCCAACGTATCCTGGCAAGCGTTTCAAGGCGCGTTGCCCGCCGCAGAGTTGGCTTCTTTGAGTCTGCTCGAAATCAAGATCGACTACGCCACTCGCCGCGGCGGCAGCGCTTCGATAACCAGCCAGCAGAAGAAGTCGCTGACGCGGGCCGTCTGGAAGGCGAGCGACGTGGAAGGCCAGCTCCCCAGCCCCGGCGCGCCGGGCCTTCAACTACCTCTGCGAGCGCAACCTTTCTACCGGGCGCTGCTCGCTCGCCACCGGGGCTTGCTGGCGGAACACCGCGCCTCGGCGGACCAGAGCTGGCGCGGCGTGCCCGCGGCAGAACTCCTCCTCAACCTGCCAGGCGTGGAAGTCGCGGCGCGACCCTGGCTTTACCCAAGCATGGCCTTCGGGGACACGGACATCTCCCTGCGCCTCAAGGCCACGGGCCACCTGGACGTGACAGCCGCTCCGAGCCCGAAAGCGCACTGGATGCGAAAGCTGTTGAGTGGCTGCGAAGACTTCCGGCGGGACTACCACCTCCAAGCCTTGCTCTACAATGTCTGCGGTGGCAGCCGTGGCCGCCGCCAATGGTCTGGCGCCAGACGAAGCCGAGAGTGGCCGCCAAGTAGCTGGAGATGACGTTATTGCCACTGCCGGAGACCGGAGTGCTTGCAGGGGCAATCTTGCCACTGCCGTGCAGCTTTCAATAAAAAATCTGCAAGCAAAATTGAGAAAATGCAGAAGCAGAACCCCAAGCATGGCCCTCAGAGAATGCGGTACAAAAAACCGAAGTGGTGAGTGCCCTGCTAGAACTAGACCACGGTTGGCCCGAAAGCAGAACATCGCAAGCGAGGTCGGCCCAACGCTGCAGGATGCGTTCTTTTTCCCTACACGAAGCATTCGTGAAGCAAGCGCGAGACAGCACCAGGCAAGGTGCTCTGTGCAAGTTGCTCTGTGCAAGTTGCTCTGCGTAAGTTGCTCTGCGCAAGTTGCTCTGCGCAAGTTGCTCTAGGCAAGGCGCTCTGCGCAAACTGGTCGGTGCAAGTTGGTCTGCGCAAGTTGCTCTGTGCAACTTGCTCTGCGCAAGTTGCTCTGCGCAAGTTGCTTTAAAATGCAAGTTGCATCTTGCGACGCCCGCCCGCGGACCAGGGAGGAATCGAACCCGCGACCCGCCGGTTCCGGGAGCAGGCGCGCGAACCACGAGACAACTCCCGAGGACCAGTTCGAACAACAAAAGTCGCAAAAAACCTCGAGTTTTTGCACCTCGACCACGCCGATTCCCGCAGAGGGTTGCGCGAGCACCGCAGAAATCGCAAAAAACCATGGGTTTTTGCACCTCGACCACGCCGATCCCCGCAGAGGGTCGCGCGAGCAGGTTAGAAATCGCAAAAAACCATGGGTTTTTGCACCTCGACCACGCCGATCCCCGCAGAGGGTCGCGCGAGCATGTTAGAAATCGCAAAAAAAAACATGGGTTTTTGCACCTCGACCACGCCGATCCCCGCAGAGGGTCGCGCGAGCAGGTTAAACATCGCAAAAAACCTCGAGTTTTTGCACCTCGACCACGCCGATCCCCGCAGAGGGTCGCGCGAGCACCGCAGAAATCGCATGGGTTTTTGCACCTCGACCACGCCGATCCCCGCAGAGGGTCGCGCGGGAACTTTAGAAATCGCAAAAAACCATGGGTTTTGCACCTCGACCACGCCGATCCCCGCAGAGGGTCGATTTTCGTGTAGTGTCGTCAGCACTACCCCGCCGCCCTAAGAAGAGATTTTAACTCCTCGCAAGTCAATTGCACTTGACTCCTTGCACTTGCAACTTGCACTTGACTCCTTGCTTGTTTCAAGGAGTCATTGCAAGGAGTCATTGCAAGGAGTCATTGCAAGGAGTCATTGCAAGGAGTCATGGCAAGGAGTCATTGCAAGGAGTTGCAAGGAGTCATTAGTCATTGCAAGGAGTCATTGCAAGGAGTCATTGCAAGGAGTCATTGCAAGGAGTCATTGCAAGGAGTCATGAGAGCCATTGCAAGTTGCAAGGAGCCAAGTGCATGGAGTCAAGTGCAAGTCGCAAGTGCACGGAGTTAAGTGCAAGTTGCAAGTGCAAGGGGCCAAGTGCAAGGAGCCAAGTGCAAGGAGCCAAGTGCATGGAGTCAAGTGCAAGTTGCAAGTGCATGGAGTCAAGTGCAAGTTGCAAGTGCAAGGAGTCAAGTGCAAGTTGCAAGTGCAAGGAGTCAAGTGCAAGTTGCAATCCTTGCCATGACTCCTTGCAATGACTCCTTGCAATGACTCCTTGCAATGACTCCTTGCAATGACTCCTTGCAATGACTCTTGCAATGACTCCTTGCAATGACTCCTTGCAATGACTCCTTGCAATGACTCCTTGCAATGACTCCTTGCAATGACTCCTTGCAATGACTCCTTGCAATGACTCCTTGCAATGACTCCTTGCAATGACTCCTTGCAATGACTTTCATGATGATGATTCCTTGCAATGACACCTTGTAATGACTCTCATGAGAACAACTCAAGTGAACCCAGCGGAAGAACCCTTCGCCATGCTTTCGGGAAAAAGAGAGCACAGGCCTGACCCAAGGGCATCGCAGTCGGAAAGCTCAACGTTGCGTTCGCCGACAAGGAGCCACGCCTGCCACTCACTGCAAAGACACGCGCAGCTCACGCAGCTGAAGGCAAGCTTCGACTTTAAGAACAAATTCAAGTGCATCCTGACGAGCATGGCCTGTTGTTCTTCAATTTTCTACCACTACCGGGTGTGCCACTTCGGAGGCTGTTTCTCGGCTTTTTGTGGCAACGCGCAGGTGCCTTTTACTTCGCCTGTTGCACGGCCTTTTAGCCATGCGCGGAAGACCTACTAGCAGCCTTATGCCTTTTCAGCCGGCGAGCTGCTGCCCATCGTCCAGGACCAGATTAATTGGTGCGGGTGGTCAGTGCACTTTGTCCATGACACTATTCACTGAATGGTAGCCAAATTAAACAAACTGCGCCAAGCAGTGAGCCAGGCCCGCAAAGTGCCGCAAAACACTGGAGCAATGCCTAGGCTTGCTCATTTGGGCCACCCGTATATCAAAGCACTTGAGGCCTTGGCTCGCACCGCTGTATTCAGATCTGCGGAGTCCGCCCGGCAGCATGTGCTTGGTGTCAGCAGCAGCTTGGCAGTCTTTCCTTTCGACTCTGGAGTCCACGAGCCGTCCAACCCGCACAGTAGAGCTGACTGTTCCATCAGACCCCAACTCTCCATCACTCACGGTAGCAAGTCTTGCCTCGCTTGGCCTTCACAGTGCCTCGCAGTGCCTTGCAAGCACTACAGTGACTCCCTTGGCCCTGCCACCTCTGCTGCCTGGAGGGAGATGCTGTAGGCGCAGGGGGTTGGTTCTGGCTGGCTTTTCTGACCAAACCCCAGCGCTACATTGCATGTTTTGAGACTATTGCACAGTTCGCACTGCTGCAAATCTCTCACTCTACGTTGGGACAGAAGCAGACATCAACAAGATGTTTACTACGTCGTGGCCAATGCAAGCTCATCGCCGCGGGGCTCACTCGCATGGCGTTGTGTTGCAACCATCACACATTGCAGGCGCAGCCAACGAATGGGCTGACGACCTCAGTCACAGGTTTCGATTTACGCCAGGCAGCACTAACGTCAGGTCAGCGCCTCACATTGCACCCGGCAGATGCTATCGGGAGACCTGAGCACCGCGCTGCTACGGGAGCATTCCAACCTTCGTTGCCTTACGCCGCAGTGCCAGCACGGAATAGCACATGGGAAAAGAGCGTCTCAGTTTAAGCTTGCCGTTTGAAACCACGATGACCGCAGTCATTTGTGGCGCTGGACACTAAAGAGGCGGTTAATAGAGCCTTTTCAGCGCGCCGCTCGCGTCAGCTAGCGACTCCAACGCAACCGAGCGTACCTGTCGTGTCAAGGGTTGGGTTTAGGTTGGAGCAGTGCATGTTCTCCTATACCGCCATGTTTGTCAGTTTTTCCGGCCTGCCCACGAGAATTTCATGAGCTCCTTTGGGGAGATTGGCTCATGCAGCTGAAAAAGGCGCGAGCCAAAAAAGCACAAAACATTCGTCACTTGGCTTCACGCCCGTGATTTTTTTGTCATTGCGTGACCTACAGTGGATGACACAAGGTGAAACTTGGAGTGCGTCGAACTCGGCCCATGCCCGCGCGGAGCGGTTGTCAAGGATGCTTGCTGTCGCTTTCTTTCCGATTCGGGGCCGAAGACCACTTCCCTAGGATCTGCCCACTTGCCGGTCTTTCAGGCTGGCTCGCTGCTCAAGCTGTTTTTCGACGCACGCTTGTGTGCTAAGATTTTTGTGTTTTGTGTGTAGCTCGGAATCGGGATGTGCCAAAACAAAGCGGTTGGAAGATCATCAACATATGAGGATGGCCTTGGCTGTGATCGCTCCGCCTCTCGGCCACAGCGTGGCGATATGGCCGCCGTTCGCGTGCCAAAGGGCTTCGCGCCATGTCGCCAGAGTGGGTCTCAGAGTATCGCTCGCTCTCGGAGGCCCAGGATACACCGGTGAGGAGCAGCAGTCGGAAGCTCTGCCGGGATCCCTCGAGTGATAACCTCTTTGTGGACCTGGATGCGCAGCCGGGATGCCCGCAGAGCGAGGCTTCGTTGCGATTGTTTCTTAATTTTGTGAACGTTTTTATTTGGCAGTGGCGGGCGGGAAGCGGGGCAGACCGTGAATTCGAGCTGTGTTGCACCAAGGATTTGTTCCTCGAAAACATGCTCTACCATGAGTCGAAGCTGGAAACGATTGATGAGGCGGTTGGGATGGCGCATGATGCCGAATGGACTGGCAGAGGGTCTATGTTTGCCAGCGGCTCGCCTGTTGGGAGGTCTCGCGGTCTTTCGATGGTGAGTCCCAGGCCTGTGCGGGGCACCCCCTTGGTGCAATGTGAGTGGAGCGGGCAATGGCTGAGTGTCCAAAACCTCCGTGTGCATTCGTAGTAAGAGTCGTGTCATCATATCCACCTGTGCGAAAGCAAAAACTCCGCGCGCGCAAGGTTCCGTAAGAGGCAACATGATGCAATTTTTGGGAAATCAAGGGGGTTTCCCACAAAAAGTTTTGCCTTTTTGCAGAGGGGTCAACAGCAACCAAGAAGAGGACTGCCATTTTGACAAGCCACCCATTCCGAGGCGTCTTCACGCTGGTGGCGTCTGCCATGGGTGCCGGGTGCCTGTCCCTGCCCCACATGTTCAGCAGGAGGGCACAAACTGAGCGCCCTGAACCGTAACCCCATTTCAATCCCAACCTTTCACCAACGCCAACCTACCCACGAAACTTCACCCCAAGCCACTAAACCACTAAGCCCAGACTGCGACCACCCCTCTGTTGCTCACTAACGCCCCTTTTTCCTTTTTGTGGGAAGGATTCTCCTGAAAACTCAACCAGCCAAAAAGGACGCCCTTTTTTCCCATGGCCACTGGGCATCTGAGAGCCCGCGGCTGCGAAATCGAGAGGACGGGCCTGGTGCCGGGTTTGGTGCTGTTGGCCTGCGGCGCGGTGCTGGCCCACGTGTCCCTGGTGATCCTCATGAGCTGTGCTCGGTACACCCAGCCCCCCGGCACTTCTCTCGGATCCGAAGCAAATACCTTTTCTCCCTGTGCAAGCCATTGGAATGATTCGATTTTGTAAGCAATGAACATTAGTTTTCATGCTTTCTGATGGGTGCGAAATGGATGTCGTGCATTGCTGGGTCCGGAGTCCTGAAGTCCAGTCGAACGATTCGGCTCAGGAGCCGGTCCTTTGCGGAGCTGGTGTCCTTCAGCGAGATGGACGCGGAGGAGCTGGTGAGGCCCCAGAGGCACTTCTGGGTGGACGTGGTCATTACCTTGCGCCTGGCCAAAGCTCTCCGAGTCTCATTTTGGAGGGTTTGGAAGGGAAGCAAAAGAACACGTGCAGGCAAAAAGGACACGAACTTGGAGGAATTGGCTCCTCGACACCTTGGAGGAATTGACCCCCAATCTTGAGGCACCCCGAAATGAAAAGGAGGGATTCGGTCCAACTGTGGAGATCCAAGGGTTGCATTGGAGAGGCAAAAAAGAGACCCTCAGAAAGGCAGCCCCTGGCAAATTAAGGAAGCATCCAACGATTAGATGCAACGTCCGGCATCATCAGCTTTCCCATTCCATTTCCAATGGTTAGGGTCAGTCTTGGTCTTGGTGCCCACTTTGCCTCCTCATCCGTGACCCTCCATTGTCCATGAGCGTCCAATGTACACACAGCAACGCTATCAGCTTGTTCGTGGGCTGCGGGCTTGTCAAGCGCTTTGGCCGGACAGAACGGCCAAACCGGGTTTTCGTTGTTTGCGTCAAGCCTGTGGTGCACAATCGTTTCACTTGCTCCGGGGTTTTTGTGTTTCCAAAAACCGTCTTTGGGGCGAAGTTCGGGGCTGAGGTACGGCATGGCGGCGGTGTTGATTTATATGATGCTCATCGGGGACTTTTTCACGGACATCGCCAAGAGCCCCGTCTTCGGCCACGAGGTCGGCGAAAATTCGGCGGGCGGTATCTGTGCTGAGCAAGGAGGCTGCCCACTTTGGACGGTTGAATCGGCGAGGGTCCCAAAGTCTCCAAGGAGGAAGGGGGGGCCTATTGGTTCTTCGGGCTTGCAAATCCTGAAGGAATGGGGTGTTCAAAGGCAATCTGCAAGGATGTCTCCTTGTGTTCTCTGTGCAATGGTTTCCAGGTAGGCTTCACGAAGGATCTCTTCCTACTGAATAATTTACCGAATAAAGAATGCGCTTTTCGCACTATGGTAAAACAAAAAAAATGGGAAATACTCGTCAAAACATCAATCACATACCTTCGGATTTCAATCATCTTGCACAATCGAAGCCCGGCGATATATATATATATATATATATCTAGATATTTGCCTCGGGAAGGACGCGAAGCATGTACACGCGTTTTTACCAGCAGTGTTTTTGGCTGGCCGGCCAGTTGCATTGCTTTTTCGAGTGACATGGCGGCGTCCAAAAAGGAGGTATCCCTCTTTAGGCTGCCATGTGGTTTTGTGTGTTTATTGAAAGGGAAGCTGTCGCGTTGCAAAATAAGCGGGAGCTGAAAGGGCTTGGCTTTCTTCTGGGCTTGCTTCCTTCTTGAGCCCCTGCCTTCCTTCCTTCCTTCCTTCCTTCCTTCCTTTCTTCCTTCAAGTAAACGGGAACCCAATTGATTCCATTCTGGTTTTCCAATCAGCGGGTCAGAGAATCCCTCCGCTTCAGTGAGCCGCCAGGTGCCGCGGCAAAGTCTGATTTTGGGGTCCCTGCTTGTGGTCTTCCCCATGTCAATCCCGCGGAACGTGACCGCCTTGAGGCGCACTTGTCGCGGAAAGCTCGACGGTTGCAAGGACCTCTAGTAGTCTAATAGCTTTTGTTTGTTTGTTGCAAGCAACTCCCAAAAGGGCAAGTTGACAAAGAGACACCCGATCCCTTTGAAAGGGCGTCGGATTTCATTATCTTTGGCTTGGCTCCCAAGCATTCAAATTTGAAGTTTAAAAGGAAAATTGTCCAATCTAGCTCCTTCAGGTCTCATGTCGGTCTGGGCAATGGCATATTGGGCATCGGTTCCCTGCCTGAACAAGCAGAATCACCCTTCCACTGGTAAAGAGTGTGATCGGATGGACTCGAGCACACTGATGACGGCGTATGCCTTAAACCTGTATCAAACACCGTTCCCCCTAACAAAAACAGCTCTAATCTCACGGCTGGCATCCCTTCCGAGGGGCCTTGTGAAGGGGCCTATGGGTTGAAATGGCACGGAGCATACGTTGACCGGAAACAGATGCCCAAGTCATGAACCGAAAACATCGGATGGCTCGGCGGTCGGTAGGAACCGCCCCATGCGTTACATGGTGCCTGTCTTGATCCCTTGCTCTTGTTTTAGCCTTTTGCCTGGGGGAAGACTCCGCGTGTTGTGCTTGTGTCGTCAGCCTTGCTCCCAAAGCCAGATTTGCGATTGCCTTTTGAAGGGCGGCGCATGAAAAAAAAAACAACAACAACAACAAAACAATCATTTGTGCGGGATCCGATTCACAAAACACCAAATGGCTAGACTATGTGCCCTCCAACAAACATGGACACTGATCGGGCGCTTGCTTTGAAAGAGGAACGCCAGGATGCGCCTCTCTCTCTCTCTCTGTGTCTCTCTCTCTCTCTCTCTGTGTCTCTCTCTCTCTCTCTCAGGTGCCTTGAAACCTGCGCTGCAAACGTGATTTCCATTCAAGCTACAATCCAGGGTGTAACTGACCCTTCAGGTACATTTCGTTCTTCAGCACCAGCTCCATCGTCTTCCTGACGGTGGTGGTGGTCGCAAAGACGCCGGGTTTGTGGCGTGCGGCCGCCGCGGCCGAGGAGGAGAGGAAAGTGAAGGACAGGGGTCTCCTGAAGATTTCCTTGTGCATACAATCGGGTAACCCAACACATGGTCCGGTTCCCTGTTGGTTTCCCTTCAAACCCAGGTTTATTTGCACACTCAAAAACGCACACGCCCACTTGCTTGTTTCCCACATGAATGAACCTTGCGGACAGATAGCGGTTTTCTCAACAAGCTGCGCCAACACAAGTTTATCCTGGAGTTCCGTGAAACTCAGGAAAGTCCCTGAGATTTTGACGGGCTTGCCAGGCATCTCCAGCAAATGGGTATGAATCAGGGTCCATTCTCCAGGAAACACACACCTGGCACCGCCTCGCCATGAGCCACTTTTTTTAGGTTCTTCAGCCCTCAGACCCCTTGAGTTCAGGTGGGGGCATCCCTCAAGGAAGCGCGCTTCCTCACCTCCATTCTTTTTTTTATATGCAAAGAAACAAAGAAAGCAAAGCAACAAAAAACAAGACAAAGGCACAAACACACACACACACAAAAACAAAGCAAACGCACGCACACACACACACACATAATAAATAAATCAAACAAAAAGCAACAACAACAACAACAACAACAACAACAACAACAACAACAACAACAACAACAACAACAACAACAACAACAACAACAACAACAACAACAACAACAACAACAACAAACACAACAACAACAAACACAACAACAACAACAACAAACACAACAACAAACACAACAACAAACACAACAACAAACACAACAACAAACACAACAAACAACAACAACAACAACAACAACAACAACAACAACAACAACAACAACAACAACAACAA